ATAATGATAATAGTAATAAGACATGATGATAATGATAACAATAAGAAGAATGATAGTTATAATAATGATGGTGATAACAATAATGATAATAATAGGAAGAATTATAATAAAGATAATAATAATAAACCCCTCGGGCAGATTGGAAACTCTTGGAGCAGAAGATTCGTATAATTGAAAAAAGAAAAACAAAAACAAAACAAAAATCGATTGACAAATAAATTGCACAGCCGATTTAATTGAAAGCGTGCATGACACAGCAAGACGAAAATCTCATAATAAATTCACGATAGAAGTGTTGTAATGGCTTTAGGCTTTTTCTTTTGTCCGTTATTTCTCTTGTCTACCTTTTCTCTAATAAATAACTATCATTTGTGACTTTCTATAGAATCACACATGCACGCACGGACGTACGCACATACACGCACGTACAAACACGCACGCACGTAAGCACACGTACACAAACACACACACTTACGCACAACTCTCTCTCTCTCTATCTATCTATCTATCTATCTCTTTTTTTGTGCATATTCGATAGTTTATAGTATATTCGTCTTTGTGTAAGTTGAATGCAGTAAGTAGGGACTGTGTTATAAATGTTTATACTTGTTTCGTTTACCTAATGGAATCACTCGATCAAGTGCACGTGCTGGGGGAAACTTGTTGGGTTGGTAATGTAAATGCATGTGTGAGTGTTTAGGAGAGAGAGAGAGAGAGAGAGAGAGAGAGAGAGAGAGAGAGAGAGAGAGAGAGAGAGAGAGAGAGAGAGAGAGAGAGAGAGAGAGAGAGAGAGAGAGAGAGTTATATATGTGGGTTTATATCTGTGAGTGAGAGAGAGAGAGAGAGTTCTATATGTATGTTTACGTGTGTAAGTGAGAGAGAGAGAGAGAGAGAGAGTTCTATATGTATGTTTACGTGTGTAAGTGAGAGAGAGAGAGAGAGAGAGAGAGAGAGTTCTATATGTATGTTTACGTGTGTAAGTGAGAGAGAGAGAGAGAGAGTTATATATGTATGTTTACGTGTGTAAGTGAGAGAGAGAGAGAGAGAGTTCTATATGTATGTTTATGTATATGCGTGAGTGGAAGGGAAGTGAAATTACAGAATTAAGATAAGTAGGGGATTTTTTTATGTCTGTGTTTGCCTTTTTTGTGACAGTGTGTTTGCTCAATGTATTTATTTTGACCTCCAAGTCCTAGAAAATTAGCCTTAATAGTTGGTATATGTATTTGTATACATGCTATATATCGTTACGCATTTTTTTCCTCATTACTGGAGAGGCTAAAATGGTGTCGAAGCTGTTAGCATGATTGCTCGCAAATTATTCATTACGTTCTGTTTCTGATAGATTGGCTGCCACTTGAGCATGATGGTGTAAAAAGCTGGGGCTAACTGGGAGTTAGAGAGAGAGAGAGAGAGAGAGAGAGAGAGAGAGAGAGAGAGAGAGAGAGAGAGAGAGAGATAGGCATACAGACAGACAGACAGACAGACGAAAAAAGGGACAGAAAGAGGGAGGGAGGAAGGGTGGGAAAGAGAGAGAGAAAGAGAAGGGAGAGACAAACACAGACAAAAAAATATATACATATGTATTTTTATATATACATATATATATATATATATATATATATATATATATATATATATATATATATATATATATATATATATATACATATATATATATATATATATATATATATATATATATATATATATATATATATATATATATATATATATCCATTCCCCTACATACTGTACGGGTGTGTAAGAGTGCACGTTTGACGATGAGAGCATAAGACTATACACATACTATCTCCCCCTAGAGACTGACTTTTGCAAACAGCTCCATCGACCAACGAAAGGTCATAGATCGTGTACTTTTTAACGTAAATCAATATACCAGAGTCATTGAGGTTCTATTGCCATACGAATTACATGAGCAGAGGAAAGATACAAGAGAATGAGAAAGAAAGAAAAGAAAAGAAAAAGAGAAAATGTATATTTGTCTATTTATTCATTTATTTACTGAGGAATAACTCTGACATTTATAAATTCTCGGTTTCCTAAGGTGCACAACACAGGAGCAATATATCAAATGAGAAACAGTAAAATATAAAAAATATATTGTTTCTACATATTGCAGGATAGACGAAAAATTAATGACCTCATAAATCATGGACTATTAGATATTTAATTAAACTGTATGTTACAAACTCTGAACAAAGAATCAGAGAAAAACAATAATAGCAGAACAAAGAATCAGAGAAAAACAATAATAGCAGAACAAAGAATCAGAGAAAAACAATAATAGTTATTTAAGGTCATTAATCATACTGCTTCACATTACAGGACTGCCAAGATTTGACATTGCCATTCATTGATTGATTATAATTGTATTCTCATAAATTAGAGGTACAGCTATAGATAATTGGTCCTGTCAATTACATAATTTTTGAGAAGGCTTTTTATATATACATAATTATGATTTACATGTGTGTTTTTTGATAATAGTATCAGATATAGATTGTTCTTGCCTACGTATCTATATCTTGATACTGATGACTAAGTTCTCCAGCAGGATTTGTCATGAGGTCTTGAGATTTTCATAGTTTTATGAATATACTAATTGCTTTCTTCCTGTCATGGGAATGTCACTTAGTTTTGACAGCCCCTTCATCGCCGTTTGATATTGCAAATTCCCTCGTCTTTCAGATATACCTAACAAGGCTCTTTCTCCTCCTTCAGGAACGTCTATGCGTATGTCAGTTGATTCCAATAAGGCTCAATTTCGCTCTGGAACAATAAGATTCTGTCTCCTTCAGGAATCCAGTTTGGTATAGGCAGTGTGCTTATCCTTCTATAGAAAAGTTCCCTGATGTTGAAAGTCTTTCCCACAGGAATATCATTACATCGTAACAAGGCTCTCATTCACTCATTCACTTACTTTCTCTCTCTCTCTCTCTCTCTCTCTCTCTCTCTCTCTCTCTCTCTCTCTCTCTCTCTCTCTCTCTCTCTCTCTCTCGCTCTCTCTCTCTCTCTCTCTCTCTCTCTCTCTCTCTCTCTCTCTCTCTCTCTCTCTCTCTCTCTCTCTCTCTCTCTCTCTCTTTCTCTCTCTGTCTCCTTCTCCTTCTCTGTCGCTCTATCTATCTGTCTGTCTGTTTCTCTCTCCCTCTCCCTCTCCCTCTCCCTCTCCCTCTCCCTCTCCCTCTCCCTCTCCCTCTCCCTCTCCCTCTCCCTCTCCCTCCCCCTCCCCCTCCCCCTCCCCCTCCCTCCCCCCTCTCCCCCTCCCTCTATCTCTCTCTTCCTCCCTCTCTCTCTTCCCCTCCCTCACAATCTCCTCTCTGTCTTTCTCATCGACCAGTCCGTCACACACTAACAAACCTCACTTTCGCTCTCCTACAGGAATGCCATTTGGTGTTAACAATGCTCTCAGCTTCCTCGCGTCTCCTGGTCTTCGACGAGAGCAAAAGCGAAGCCGTTTTTATCGGAAATCCTCATTTAGTGGAATATACGGTGGGCAGAGTCAGCGTCGACCTCAAGAACCAGACGGATTTCGCTGCCATGCATGTTAAGAGTAAGTCGTAGGGAAATTTTTAATGGGGGTGGGATTGTCCTAGGGTATTTTTTTTAATGGAGGTGGATTGTCCTAGGGTATTTTTTTAATGGGGTTGGATTGTCCTAGGGTATTTTTTAATGGGGTTTGATTGTCCTAGGGTATTTTTTAATGGGGTTGGATTGTCCTAGGGTATTTTTTAAAGGGGTTGGATTGTCCTAGGGTATTTTTTAAAGGGGTTGGATTGTCCTAGGGTATTTTTTAATGGGGTTTGATTGTCCTAGGGTATTTTTTAATGGGGTTGGATTGTCCTAGGGTATTTTTTAATGGGGTTGGATTGTCTTAGGGTATTTTTTTTAAAGGGGTTTGATTGTCCTAGGGTATTTTTAATGGGGTTGGATTGTACTATGGTATTTTTTTAATGGGGTAGGAATTTGTTTCGACGTGTATTGGGGAAATGAGTTTGTGGAACTTTTTTTTTTTTTGAGTGTGTGTGAATTTGAGTTTGTGGAATGCGTTTTTTTGTGTGTGTGAATGGAATGTTTCTCTTTGTTGTTTTCTCAGCTTTTTCTTTCTTTCTTTTCTTTTCTTTCTTTCTTTTACTTCTCTTTTTTTTCATTGGAAGTAGAGGAATTCTAGTCATGGCAAGAAAAGCCTTGAATTTAAGAATTATCTCGGCTCTGATTTAGTTATTGTAGAGGAGTCAATTATTATAATCTTGATTATTAACAATTATTATTATTACTGTTAACACTTTTTAGGGAATCAGTTATCACAAAAATTAACCTTGTCAATATCACCAATTATTATCAATACTGTTATTATTAATGTTAATAACATTAATAATAACAATAATGATGGGAATCAGTTATCACAAAAAAAAACATTATCAATAAACTTACTAGCTAGTCTCTTCATTATTAATCTATTCTCCCAACGAATTCGAAAAAGACTATCAATTTCGTGCAATAAATCACCGTAATATTGGAATCCAATAAAAAATTCTTGCCACACGCTTGAAGCAACAATAAACCCAATGATATATAAGTTCAATAAGATATATCTGTAGTGGAATGGAATCTACTTCTTTTTATAAAGGGTTGAGGATAATTTTTTTAATAATCTGAACTTACTTGTGTACCGATGACCGTAATATATTTTAACTTTTGTTTATGAAACGAATTTCAGTCTATTTTCTATTGATACGAATTTTAAAAAAACGGAAGCAATATCTCATTAAAGATAGGATAGTATTGATGATAACTGTGATACTGATATCCAACACTCAACAACCCCCCTAATGAATACTAACAACAACAACGACAACGTAATCAATAATCCTCACAAACAACCTCACTTTACCACCGCTAACACCTTCCTTCCTTCCTTCCTTTCATCTTTTCTTCCACCCACAGTCTCGTTAATAAGACGCGCCGGCTACATCCTCATGAACGTCTACATACCATCGACATTGCTGTTGATTGTGAGTTACGTCACACTGTACTTTAGGGTCGGGATATTCCAAGCCAGGGTGTTGGGGTCCCTGACGGCGATGCTGGTTATGGCTACGCTGTTCACCCAGGTGGGTTTTTTTCGACGTTGGGTTGGGTTTTAGTATCAGTTGTACGGTTGTAGGAATGAGTTTGTTGTATGTGTGTGTGTGTGTGTGTGTGTGTGTGTGTGTGTGTGTGTGTGTGTGTGTGTGTGTGTGTGTGTGTGTGTGTGTGTTTGTGTGTGTGTGCTTGTTTGTGTGTGAGTGAGTGCAAGTTTGTGTGTGTATCTGCGTGTGTGTATGTGTGCTTTAATACGTACCCACATAAAAAGGATTTTTACATCCATCCTGTCACTTCAGCTTTATCCTACAAAACCCCGATTTCTTCCTTTCCTTTCCTCCCAGGCGTCCTCCCACCTCCCGAAGACGTCCTACTTCAAAATGGTTGACGTGTGGCTCTTGACGTGCATCGTCGTCATCTTCATCGTCATCGTCTTCCACGTTATGATCGACAGGGCGTTCGAGAGGGCCGAGAAATCCCTTTCTGCGTCTCCTCCTGCAGGGTTATTGGAGAAACAAGTCACAAGAATACATCCTTCAGGAGTAAGTTCGACCTTAGCCTCCTCCAAGGACCCGAGGAGCACCTTCGTGTCCACCAGCAGGAGTAACAGCATCCAGTTCCGCCCTCGGGAAAGGGCGCCCCTCTACAAGAACTTGGTCCTTGGCGCCCGGGTGGTCATCTTCGTGGCTCTTCTGGTCTTCAACTTAGTCTATTGGGCTATTGTTCTTGTGAACTAACTTTTTTTCTGCTTCTTCTTCACTATTTTTTTCTTTTGTTATTAGTTTTCCTTTTTTTTATCTTTTTTAACACTCGTTCTTCTCCATTAATTTTTTTATTATCACTGATTTCAGTATTTTATTTCAGCCACTCTATTGGATCATTGTTTGTTTGTTTGTTTTTTTGTCTTCTATTTCTACTACACTACCTTTTTAATTATTTTTTTCTTATCTTTAAGCATTCTTCTACCTTTATTATTAATTTTGTTCTTCACTAATTCTGTTTTTTCAGGCACTCTATTGGATCATTGTTCTTGTCAACTATTGATTTTAACTAGTTTATTTTATTTGTTCTTCACTAACCATTATCACCATTTTTCTTATCTTTTGTTATTATCATTATTATCATTATTATTATTATTGTTATTGTTATTATTATTATCATTATTATTATCATTGTTATTATTATTATTATCATTATTATTATTATTATTATTATCGTTATTATTATTATTATTATTATTATCATTATTATTATCATTATTATTATTATTATTAGCATTATTATTATTATTATTATTATTATTATTATTATTATTATTATTATTATTAGCATTATTATTAGTAGTAGTATTATTGTTATTATTATTGTTATTATTATTATTATTATTATTATTATCATTATCATTATTATTATTGTTAATATTATTATTGTTATTATCAATTATTATCATCAATGTGCTTCACTAACTTTTTTTAACCAATTCTCCGTCACTAACTTTGGATCACAATCATTTATAAACAGGAATTGTAGTTTACTCATTTGATTCATACCATTATCAATCAACTTTATATTTTTTTTCGTTTTTTTTTGTTTATGTTTTTGTCAATCACAAACAGGCCTTCTATTTTAAATTCATTGGGTCTGTGTTTTATATTTTTGGTATCAAGTTTTGTGTTTATACTCATGCTCTTTCTATCACGTCAACTTAACATTCATTTCTACCCTTTATAAATCACAGTCATTTTGCAAACGTTTCTTATATTACTCTATTTTTTTTTAC